ATGGGGAGTTCATTAAACCCCATATAAGCATGTTGAAAATTAAATATAAAAAGCAGCTACAAGTGAATACAAGCAAAGAGAATGGAAAAAGCTATGCCTGAACATTCAATTCAAAGCCTGAAAATGTTCTAAATATTGCAAGGAATATTCACACAAAAGATGCAGAGAGCTTAAGCCAGAATGATTTCATAGCAAACAGATTTGCCTGAACAGGCTGCCTCATAATCCTGCCAGTTTTTTTAAAAAAATAAATGTTGCTTTATCTACGGTTTTTGCTTAAGGACAGCCATATCAGCAGTCATTTGTAATAGAACGCATTCACAATTGCAGAATGTTTAATGACTTTAGCAATATTTTAAACCCATAGAATTTTGATAACTCACATTTTATGTATATCTTTAGAAATAACTAAGTATGGTAACATAAACAAAATTTTGGGAGTTCAGCACAAAACAAATCTAAATCTAATTCTATTATAAGGATAAAGATACAATTAAGACTTTCATCAACTTTACAGATATCCATTTTTCCTGGAAATATTAATTATAATAGTGGTATATGAATCACTATTGTTTTCACTACTTAGTTCCCAAGATTCTTTAGGAAAAGCCAAAATGACATCTGTTTGCCTCTCTCAAAGAAAGAAAAAGGAAAATCAAACAGATCAACCATATAAATTATCATTTCACCAAAAAAGAAAATTACAACTCTTTAGATATCTGAAAATAATAGTGACTCATTCATTAAAATGAAGGGTAGATATGTTGAGAAAAGAATAGCATCATCTATAGTTACATTGTCTTTAAATGGAAATTAATGGGAGACTGCAGAATACAGACACAATGTTAATTCAGTGCAATGATCTCTAACAGCTATGATCTCTAACAGCTCATAAATGTAACTGCACATTTACTTTTAGATCATTTTTCAATATCCAAGTTTGTATACATTTTGTATTATTGATGCATATTATGTATGCCTCAGCCTTATGAATGTTGCAACATATACCAATTCTTTTACCAAAAGGAACAGGATTCAATTTATGACATAAAATTATAATTGAATCCTGGATATATCCAATTAAAAGTGAAGCAAACAAGTTCTGAATATGTGGACTGTCTCTGTTGATCACAGCCAATTTCCAGGTTAAAGAGTGGAACTTAAGTTTTCCTAAGTAGGAAAATGTGAATGTTATGATGCAGCCTGGAAACCAGCTGCTGGAATTGGGTATGTCTAGTTTAATGAAGAAAAGGACGAGGGGGGACATGATAGCAGGGTTCCAACATCTCAGGGGCTGCCACAAAGAAGAAGGAGTCAAGCTATTTTCCAAGGCGCCTGAAGGCAGGACAAGAAGCAACGGGTGGAAACTAACCAAGGAGAGAAGCAACCTAGAACTAAGGAGAAACTTCCTGACAGTTAGAACAATTAACCAGTGGAACAACCTGCTTCCAGAAGCGGTGAATGCTTCAACACTGGAGGTTTTTAAGAAGAGACTGGACAGCCATTTGTCCGAAATGGTATATGGTTTCCTGCCTGAGCAGGGGGTTGGACTAGATGACCTCCAAGGTCCCTTCCAACTTTACAATTATTATTATTATTATTATTATTATTATTATTATTATTATTATGATGATGATGATGATGATGATGATGATACATTCATTGCTCAAATAATAATAATGGATACTCATATCGTGATTTTAAAAAAATGCATCCAAGACTTACTTATTTTATGCAATAAAAGCTCTGCAAGTTTCCAGATGATATGGGGTGTGTGTGTTTTTCTAACCTTCATTTTTGAATTATGGGAATGTACAAGTTGTACAAAAAGGGTTGGTTTCAGAACAAGGACCCTATGATTTCAATGATTGGGAGGAAAATCTAAACCGTATCCTATTCATAGGGTATTTGGGCCAAATTCTGAGTATTTTTATGAAAGTCATGGCAAATTCCTTCACTTTCTGTTGATACATGTTTCACTGAGAAACTTTATTTGGTTGTTTAATCTTTTGGGCTTTAAAATCAATTAAACAGCTTTTATACTTTGAGGGGGGTGTCTCCCACATTCAATATCTTTCTTTTAAGGGAATATCATTTTGTCACTATTATTTTAAGGTTATTCTTTTATCACTAGTAATATAAAGTCATTTAAACAAAAAGTATATTTGTTCAACAAGTTAGCAAATTAAATTATAGATACCAATAAGGAACATCTTTCCTTTATGTTTGATCACACAAAGCATACAAAATACTGTAACAATAACATTAACAGCTGCCGGAATCTGACCCAGCTGCCATTTGTGCTTATCCTACTATTGGCAGAAAGATGCTATTTCATATTTATATAAAATATGCAAAGCAAATGTAGCATAAATCATCACTCTCTAATTAAACTACCAGCATACTAAATACTTTCAATTATGTTCAGCATTCCTGTCTCAAAAATCCTGTTTTCACTAGATTTGAGGCAAGTATACATATTTGTCTTAAACAGTAACTTATTGGCTGAATAAAGAAACATAGTTTAATGTCACGAAATCTTTTGAAGATTTCTTTGAAAGTTCTACATACTGACCAGTAGGGGTCATTTCAGCACAAAAATTATAACAAAATAAGCTGACTCAAAGAGGAAGCTCTGTGGAAACACAAGACCTATTCTTTTGAGGTAAACAGGCTTTTATCCACACATATTATTCATGACAAGAGTGTTCCCAATTTTGAAAGATGTTTAATTAATAGATGAAAAGCAAGTAATTCATCCACCAACTTTAATGTAACTGCTGGAACTATCAACAGACTTCAAAACTAACATTCTTATCTACAAGCTCAATCATATATGTTGCAAAATCCAAAGTTAGCTATAATTACCAAGAGCTTAGCCGAAGTCATCATTTAAAGCTTTGAAGATGAAACTAGAGTTGTGTAGGTAAGCTATTTATCTGGAAATAGTTTGACTAATTTCTGCAGGTTGTGTTCTTGGAGACGTTGGGACAGGAAAAGCTGGGATAAATATTACATTTCTGTTACTGCCTGAAGTGTCATCTCTAGAGATTACCTGTGCTATTTGCTTCAGGGGAATGCCAGATACAAAGTAACAGCTGAAGTCCAGCAATCAAAATACATTACTTTTAAACAATTCTTAAAACTGTCAAAAACCTCTGAACTAAAATGAAGTAGAGTGTTGAGGTGTTATGGCAGAATTTGCTCTAGTATAAACATTCACTATAATTACAGATAAACATGCACTTTTCATGAAAGCCATTTCATTCAGCTTAGTATGCTTATAACTCCTTTAGTTTAAAACCTCGATGCAAAGGAACCACAACTCCAAGCAAGTTATTAAAAGTCTGAGTCTATTCTGATAGCTCTCATCTTGCCAATTAAACTATACTGAAGCACACAAGGAATCTTAGTTACAAAACTAAGGTTGAAATAAACTGTAGTGGCCATCCCAAAGGATAAATCTGGACATTTTTAGGGATAAAAGGGAATTAAGAATTCTTTAAATTATGCATGTCTGGGAGCATTTAGATGACTTTCCTGCCATTTTTTTTCCAGAGGAATTTCTGAGCTCTCTGCAGCCCTCTTGTGGGTCACAGAAAGAAGCCATTCTTATGGGAGGGAAGTGAAAAGGAATTTTCCATAAAAAATTCTCATTGTCATATGCACTATATTCCTTTAGACTGCAGAATGAAAAGTTATAATGGAGAGACTGAATTCTCACATACAATTTGGGCAGACAACTAGCAGACAAAATATTTAAATGTTTCCAATTATATTCATTATAAAGAATAATTATGAAAAATGTGGCATATATATAAATAATACAACAACATTCTTCCTATTTATAGAAATGAAAACAAGATGGGTTTTTCCCCCCCCCCCAACCCAGCTAACATACAAGTATGCAATTGGGCAATTACTCTTTTCAACCCTCTTGGGAGCAGAATGCCAAAATAATTTTGCATAAACAGCTTATTTGTATTCAGTAATGTTTTGAAAATACATTTATTAAGAAAGATTAAAATGCTAGGACTCCCTTCAGCACGACCACTAGGTAAAAGTTGAGTTCCTCTTGACACACGATCAGTAACCAACAACTTTATACATATGGATTGAAAAGTCAGTCGATTTATAGCCATCTACATTCAGGTAAGCCTGTTCGTGATTTGGGTTGTAAAAGCCAGCAGGAAAATAGCGAAGTCAGAGCAACGAACTGATGTCCAAATTAACATTTTTGCACTAATATCACAAAAACCCGCTTTATTTTTGCGGTCCAATTAAAATCCATCTTGAAACCTAACACCTATGAAAACAGCAAGAAAAAGGCGCGGGGGTGGCGGTGGCGGCGTAAAAGAGGAAACGGGAGAACCAAACACCCTTCAGCCCTTGGAAACATGCGCGCACCACTATCAGCGCCTTTCCCCTCTCCTCTTTATTTTTTTTAAATAGTAATTTGATTTGATTTTGATTTTATTAGATTTATACCCCGCCCTTCTCCTGGCGGACCCAGGGCGGCTTAGTGGAGACAATATATTTATATACAATTTATATATTGTATATATATGTATGTATGTATATATACAGAGGAGCATGACAGAGACAAATGGAAAATATTTCTTGGGAGGGAGAGAAGACATGGAACCTACGAACACGGCAGATTCGAAGAAGCTACCACCTTTCCCTTGAATTTCGCGAGCGGTTTTCAAGGTACTTACAGCTGCATTACACCCCGATTGTGCGTCGGAAAAAATGGAGAGGCTGGAAAGGAAACCTGAAGCGCCACTATTGGGGCGGCGGGGCGGGGGGGAGACTCGGGAGGGTGATATAAGCCTAAAGCCAGGGGGGGGCTCACAGGGCCCTTTTTCCCACTCGGGGCAGAGCCCTGCAACCGTCCCAAGCCACGCGTTGCTTCGGGCTCCTGGGTCCGCGCGGGGGGCGGAGCGGCTGGCTATCTGGCTCCGCGGACCGGAGCGAGACCACGATCTTCCGCGTTTTACCTTCGCAGACTCCCGCTTCGTACTCGGTGAGAGAATCGCCGTTGAGCGGCGGGCGGATCACACAGCGAAGCCCGCGGTCGCAGGCGCCGTGCAGCCCGAAGAAGCCGCCGCAGCTCTCGTTGCGCTGCCGGGCGCAGATGAAGCAGCAGCCGCAGATGTCCAGGACGACGCCGCCGGGGCAGTTCTTGGGCTCCTCGCACCTGGACTCGTCGCAAGGCAGGCAGACGAAAGCCCGCGTCCCGGGCGTCCCCGGGAGCACCAGCAGCGCCAGGAGCAGCAGCCACCCCTCGGCCAAGGGCCAGTCGCCACCGACAACCCGACGCCTCCGCCCCGCGGCGTCCGTGGCCAGGGACATCGCGGCCAGGGCCGAGGCAGCCCTCGCAAGTCCACTCGCACTCCCCGAGCCCGGCGTGGAGCAGCCCAGCCGCGCGGCGGCGGCGGCGGCGGCGACGGCGACGGAGCTCTGCCTCCTCCGGCTGCTCCAGAAAAGTTTCCTGTTGGCTCCCAGCAGCTCCGCGGTCCAGCTGAAGTTCTCCTCGAGGCAGGCGGGCAAAGAAACTCGCTCCTACGGTTGGTCCTCTCCCTCCGGACTCCTCGAAACCTCCGGGCACTCCTGCGCAGCGACTACGCAGCTAGTATAACGGGCGCCGGAGCCGAGAGCAAAGCGAACACCAGCACCTCCGCCGACAACTCGCCGCCCGACTCCGGACTCTTCGCCTTCTCCGACTTCTCCCAGCTCCCAACGTTTTACTCCCGCCCTCGGCTGCTCCACGGTCATTGGATAGCGACGCGCCGGGCTCAGCCCCCGGCCGCTTTCCGGGGCGGTCATTGGATGCTCTCTGCCGCCTCGGCCCGCCCCGCCGCCCACCCTTTACTTTCTCGGAGAGGCGCCGCAGTTCGGGCCCTAAGGCGCTGGCTTTCCTCTCACCTCGCGCTCTGCCCCTCCCTTGCCCGTGGCTTTGAGGTTTGCGAGACGGGCAGGGAGACCCGGAGAGCGGCCCCGCGGAGGTCAAGCGGGATGCCCAACCAGTCCGGGAAAGGAAAACCGGGGTGGGAGGGGCGCTATTTAAACCAAGGGCAGCTCTGATGTGAAAGAGAAGAAGCAAAAATGGGGGCGGGTGTGGCCAAAAGGAAGGAAACCCGAAGGCTGCTGCGCTTTTATCCTGAGAGCAGTTGGCATCCAGGGTCGGGCACCGCCGGGCCAATGACGAGGTGGTTTCTCCCCTCGGCTCGCGCGCCCAGAGGACGCCCGCAGGTGGAAGTTCCTAAGCAGTGACCGGCCTCTGTCTTACAAGGCAGCCCCGGCGCTCTGGCCACTCGACCCCCAATTGCGAGCGCCTTTTTTTTCCTGGAGATGCTGCCACTAGCTCGTTGCGCCCGTCAGAAGGGAGAGACCGACGGCCCGGTGGTGGTCCTCGCTGGCTTAACCGCGTGTGCTGGCTTTTGGCGATGGCGTCTGCGTGTCGCAGAGGGCTGGCCTCAGTCAGCGCAGCCCACCCTCACGGTGTATAGGCGAGGTAGCAAAGGCAGGCCACTACGAAGTTAAGTCGCCGTTTGGAGGGAGAGGCTGGGGCGGGGAGCAGGTGGGCGATTGCCAGAGCAGGTGCTCCCTTGGTGCCAAGTCTATGGATGGGATTAGGCTGCAGCAGACTCCGGGCAGTGTTGTGGGTCCGTTCCTTGAGCCCAGAGTGAGACTGAAGGGCAAAGGTAGACCCTTGTGACTGTTTCAGAGGACAACTACACCCCCTTGCCACTTGTTCTAGTACAGTGGTGGCGAACCTATGGCACGCGTGCCAGAGGCGGCACTCAGAGCCCTCTCTGTGGGCACGCATGCCATGTCCCGGAGATGGCAACCGTCCCTCTTCAACCAGCCGCCCACTAACTCGCCGAGGTCCCATATGGCCAGATGCATCCCAGCACCCATGCACTCACTGGCCTCTGTGTGCAGCGGCCGATAGTGTCAGGCAGCAGCCACCCCGGCCCCTGCCTCACCTTGCCCTGTGACAATGGCACCCCCGCCCTGCCTCACCTTGCCTCACCTCACCCAGCAGGACGAGCCTCCTGCCCATCACCCCACCTGCCAGAGACCCCCTGGATCTCCCCCTGCCCAGCCCCCACAAGCAACATCGAGGTGATCACACCCACCGTGGCCACACCCATCCAATCGCCATGACCACCACAGCCACGCCCACCCAGTGGGCCACGGCCACCTAGTGGGCCATGGCCACCTGGCACCCGGTGATAAATTAGTGGGTTTTGGGTTGCGGTTTGGGCACTCAGTCTCTAAAAGGTTCGCCATCACTGTTCTAGTAGGTAAAGCCAAAGCTGTGAGTCTTGTAATTATGGATGAACTGGTAGTGTAACAACCTGAGGCATGTGTTGGCAGCTGAATCCTTGCTGCAGCTGCTCAAGTTCATTCTTTCCTGCAGGGTGTTTGGTTTTAACAAGAATGCCAAAGTGGTTTATGACTTCCAGGAGACTTTTTCAACCTCCCAGCCTTGGGATTTCATGGCTTCCTTCCATCGGACTACTAACCAAATCCAACCATATTTGCCTTTTTGCAACCAACCATGTTGATGGATAATGTTGCTATCCAACTGTAGAAGATGCTGCTTATTTGCTGCTCTTTGTCATCCGTTTTCCACACACAAGAGTCATTTAGAGTAGAGCAGCATAGCGTGCTAACATTGGTGACTCATACTAACCTTGACTACCATTCAACTTCAGTTTTATTTTGACGGCTCAACACATTATATGAAGTCAGCCTCTTGGTTAATTATATACAAGGTATTGTGTAAAACCACAAAATGTGTAGCTTCAGAGGCAGATTTAATATGTTGTACGAACCCAGACCTAGAATGGGCCAAAGGTGTTTTCCCACCTAAGACAAAGTTCAGGATGGTTTTTCAACCCAGCTCCATGCACAGTAACCATTTGGATTGATAGCTGAATCTTACTGCACCATCATACCAGAAGGAATGGGCTAGTTTTGGATTCATATCAGCTGTGAAGCCAAACACTCTTTAATAAGTAGGAGTGAGTATAGCATGCATGAGACTTGCAGGGAGGCATTCATTGCTGTCCCACTAGCAGCTCTTGTATAGGGTTCTCCCTGCTAGTAAGATTGGCCTTGCACATGTAGAAGATTTCAGGAGAGCTTCTTAGTTCATTTAGAGAGTAGATTGAGTTATTAATTAGAAGACAAATTGAAAGAAGATTTTTCTTCTTCTCGGTATCAGCTGGCCATTTTCTAACTGTATGCAAAGTAAATGCTGCATTAGATTCACTCTGGGCCTAAGTAAGCATCTGAAAAGGAATATTTCTTGTCTACCTGCTCTGGAAGACACCTGATGTTTCAGAATCACTGCTTTATACAAATGGTCCTTTAGATTCCTTGGGGAGTTGCAGCTGAACTCATTCATGGGAAAACTTTGTTCCCCTTGGGCTTAAAAGAAGTTTGGAAAATATGTCAACTAAGAGATAAAACTAGAAAGTGAGAGGGCTTTGATAGAATACAGGTTATATTCCCTTCTCTCATCCCCACCAAGACAGGGACATGGTTTTCACGTCATTATTATTTATTTGTGCCTTTATATCCTGCCTTTTTCTCTGACTGAATGGCCCAGGCAATTAAAAGAAGTAAGATATGCAATTAAAATATAATTAAATACATATATAAATTCAAAACATCATTAAAGTGTGCCAAGGTCTGGTTAAAAAGGTGTGTGGGAGAAAACCCCCCACCGATGAATAGAAAGAGAACAGGTCAAATTCAAGTCTGAAGAGATTGGATTCCATGCTTAGTAGGCTATACAACAGGATGCACTTTCTGTGTATTTGATAAATAGCTGGTGAAAAAGACAACATCCTACATTGTTGGAATCTGAACCAACTGTGTAAAGCAAAGCAAAGTTGTCCCAGGGTTTCAAGCTTCAGAACTAGATTGGATCATAAACAGCCTTTTGAATTTCACTACCAATTTCACTACCAAATCACTACCAGAGAATGGGTGATCAGTTTTTCCAGGGAAAGAAGAAATTATTAAATGTTTTCTCAGTAGCTGAGGCTGGTGGGGGAAATAATTGAATTGCAAGAAATAAAAGTTATAGCAAACCTCTGGAAGAGTGATTGTAGAGGAAAAGATAGGACATACATCTCTGGCCATCAAGTAAATAAGTGCAAAACATCTCTTTCCATTTGCAAACATTTATCTGAAATACTTTTTTCCTTGAAAGAATTTCTAAAACAAATTCTCTTTTAGCAAATTTAATGAGAATAGGAAGTAGAAGAATGGAGTAGAGCTTTCCCCTCTCATCCAGTCTTATTTAAATTAAAAACCTGGTTACATCCATAAAGCAGTTGGCAACCATTGAAACTTCTTTGTAGAAAGAAGGAAATAATAAGCCAAAGATATTAAAATATGAGATAAGACAGGGAAGCAACTAAAACAAATACTGTTCACTATATCTCTCCATACTTTTCAATGACTAGTTTGAGAACAGCAATCCTCTAGAACAGCAAATATTAATTTTGATAATACATTCCTGTAAGAAGTAGCTATTATATACTTACTTGATTATTATTACTGTTTGACACGAGAATGGAATTGTTTTCTCCCACGTATGTGTTGCACAAACAAGCGGAGATTGTGGGATTTTTTCCTGCTTCTGTGCACTAGGGACCGGTTCTGTGGAGAGAGGTTTTTCTGTGGACTGGAGGGGGCGTGGTTTTGTGGGCTGCCTGCATCCTGCAGATGGGGCTTTGCTTGTTTGTGTGGACCAGTTGCTGGCATGCCATGGCCCGGTACTGGTCCACGGACCAGGGGTTGGGGACCCCTGCTCTAGATCATATGCAAGACCTCTTCTAACATGCTTTACTATTTGGCTAGCAAGGCATTTCCTGCATTGTTAGCATGCCCACAAATACATGCTAGCATTTAAACAAGAAACCACTCTTCCACTTTTTCTATTCATATCAATCTGTCCCTTTAAAAAACAGTACATGAAATACTGTGTGGAAACCTTTTATCTTAACAATTGTAGTCCCCAAACATATTATCAGTCTCTACTGGAGCAAAAAATATGAATCTCTCTCAATAATCAGTAAATCTCTCTGTCAAGTTGCTACTGTTCTTGTTTGATTGAAAACAGAACATTCCTCCAAAGGAACAAAAGCATATGAAATAATTAAGTGAGAAAGAGTGAGCATACATATATATGTGGAGCAATAAAGCCCCAAATCAATTAAACATTTGAAATGTTCCATGAAGAGTGTCTAATAAGAGAAACATATTTCCAAACAGTGCCTTGTTATTAGCTTTCAGCAAAGTAGAAAGTTCCCAAGAGAGCAAGGTGG